TACATACATATATATATATTTATATTTATATTTATACACGCACATACACACATATATATATTTATATATGTATGTATGTATGTATATGCACACGCACACGCATACACACACATAATATATATATATATATATGTCTGTATGTATATACATATATACACACACATATATATATATATATATGTATGTATGTATGTATGTATGTATACGCACACACATACACACGCATAATATATATATATACATATATATATATATATATTTATGTATGTATACACACGCACACACACACGCTCAAGTATATATATGTATATATATATATAGATGTATATGTATATATATATATGTATATGTGTACATATATATATATGTATACATATATATATATATATGTATACATATATATATAAATACAAATAAATGTACGTTAGAATATGGGTATAAATATATACATATATATATATATTGACATACATATATTGCGACATACATACATATATATTTATATTAAATGTACGATATGAAATACTTACATAGACTCACTCAGAAACAATCTACACACGCTCACACATGCTTATATATGCCTGGGTTGCGTGTGTGATACATATGCATTCACAAACACACATGCGAGTAGCTCTTTCATTTTTGAAACTATAAAATACATTTTATACAAATATAATTTTCAACGAAGTACATACATAATGTATATATATATATATGTGTGTGTGTGTGTACATATGTATACATATATATATGAATATATTAAATTGTCCACAATTGTGATATATATATATATAAGATGTTTGATCTCTCGAGCCTACTTTTTTATGAAATGTACAGCACGCGATTTCGTTTGAGTATTGATTAGCAACCCGTGCTCAATATGTGACGGACAATATAGGGCTCGCAAATTGCTTCGGATTTACACATGTTGGAGTTTCATGTTTGACTTTACATCGGATCGTGATACTGGTGACCGTGCCTCCCGCATTGAATTGGTGCCACTTCTACACCTTTTGCGTATCTATTTTTTCGGGTTTTATTTGGTGAATATAGTATCTATTCTCGCGGGCTGTAGTTTTTCACATCCTACTTCTATGCGAGTGATTGCGTTCATCGTATGGGTTCTTCGTGCTGACATCGCCGCTATTTATATAATTCTATCTACTGCCCAAATGCAGATGCAATCAATTACAGTAACCGCGAGAAACGGCCAAGTATCGAAAATGGAGTACGCATATCTCAGAGGCTCGAAAGTGCGGTACTTCATCATCCCGGATATGTTAAAGAATGCCCCCTTCTTCAATAAAGGCAAGAGCGACATCGCAACTGGAAAGACAGCCGTACTCAGAGGCCAAGGTATGGCTATGCTTATTCCATTTATGGAGTATCGCAACCGTTTCGTTATATAGTATAGTGCAGATGTCCGCGTGTTACGTTTCTTGTCCACGTCACGCACGTGGCATCTTCAGTTGTCCATCGTGTGACAATCTCCAGGTTTGTTAGCTGTGTTGTGCACATTTCGATCTTGTTCTTGTTCTTGACATCGCCCCCTGTCTTGCTTGCACCGTTCGTATACGAGTATCCCTGTCTTGCTTGCACCGTTCGTATACGTGTATACGAGTTTTATAAGGGCACATCCGCGATGCTGTTTTGCCCCGTACCACTTGGTGCTGGCAAACCTGTCTTGGCCTAAGCCCTCCCTCTTTTTCCGAATATCCCAATTCAATACAAGCCTGAAATTTACCCTTCCACTCTAATATCTGTGCTTTGATTCAGCTGCTGCCGCATCAAGAGGCGGACGAGGGGGTGGTCGTGGAGGTCGTGGAGGATTTTAAAGTGAATATAATGTCTGTCTATGTACCCATATGATTTCAATGCAAAGTAAACAATAGATTATAATAAATTATACCAAGATAAAGTATAACTGTGGTGGGATGTGCCCCATACTGTGCATTCTAACTGACATTGCAACGAAGATTGTTTGAAATGATTTCTGAAGTGCAACATAGTCGCTCTAGAAATGCACGAGTACAATTATTAGAGCTATCAAATATATTCGCTTATGTAGTTTTATTGTGGCTCGGCTTTTACCCTTTATTGAGGTGAGCTGACTTGCTTTTATATAATTCATAGTCTGTTCCGATCCCTTATTTATAGCATTTGTGCAGACTAGAATCGCCCACATAAACGGTGTGCTCGTTTACACACGGATCTAAGAGTGTTGAACCAGTGTAAGTTTCGTTTTCTTGTCTCCATTGTCCTCACTTCGTGCCAAGTGAGCAGCACGTGTGCTCTATTGACACGAGACAACCTCGCGAGGGAACAGTCGAGAAGCTTCACCTAGCATTTGCAGTATGTGCAGAATTGCTCATCGAAAGCTGCAAATCAGTTTTTGTACCGTTTGGCTTTGACCATCGTCTCTGTGTATCCCTGTGGTATGGTCCAGCAGCCGATATTTCACCATCCAGAAGGCTTCACCGTGTTGAAACTTCCTATCTGAATCGCAAGCTGCTTTGCGGGTTATTATTTACTTTCATACATTGCCTACACAATGTTATCAAACTGTCTGTACAGTGTCATCAGCCGCCTCCGAGAGCTCAGTGATGGTCTCAATGGTACGCACATTCGGCACGGGTATCGTAAAGTTGGTGATCTTAGAAGACTTTCTGCTCATCCCCGAACCACCCCGTGCGTTCCATTGGTACTTCGCAGTCCACCCCTTCATATATTACACAGACTATGAACCCAAAGCTGTCCAGCATGTACACTACGACGGGTATGGTACTCGTATAGTAGTAGAAAAAGGCAACTATCGGAGTAAATTTATAATGTATCTCCACATACACACCTATATAGAACAGCATTGAATAAAACGTAAACATGCGCACATTCTGGTAGAAGTCAGCAAACCTGGGGCCGACATTTCTCCCTTGGTAGGTGTAGTAGCTGAACGCAACTATGAGGATGGATGCCCATACGACCTCACCAATGTAAAACATATAAAAGGGATAAGATATCGGGTTAAAGAATATAAGTGTGAAAGGAATCATGGCAACGATTGATAGGAGCATGGTTATAACCACGCCCTTCTCGAACTCGAATTTTGATCTGTCGCGCACTTTGAAGGCCGTGAAAGCGAGACAGATTAGCCGTTGCCTTGACAACACGGCGCCGATGAAGCACGAACGCGCTAGCTTGGCGACGGTTAGTGTGGCATAGGTCCAGCCTATTGGCCAATTCGTCCAAATAAAGTGGTATTGCATTGATGCGAGGTACATTGTGACTGCTGCAATACAACTTGAGATTAATATGACACACAGGAATGTATATCCGCGCGCCTTAATGATCTCTCTGTCTCTCTGCGTGTATGAGAAGACACCTATGGCAGCAAAGATACTTACAACTACAAGTATGGCTGACAGGTCGCAGTACTCAATAACCTCCTCAGAGACAGACCATTTGTACTTTACCGAGAGTCTGCCAACGAGTAACAATGCCCCAAACACCAGCAACGTGGACGTCATGGTAACCGCATAGCATGTCCAAGAAAGTAGGACGTATTGATGATCTTTCCATGAGGTGTGAGCGTTTGTACTGTGTATCGAATTTATGGAACCGGGGATTCTAATAAAAGTGCTACTGTGTATGGGGCTATTTCTTTCTAACGATTGCGATGGTGGCACAGTTCTATTATCATTATTATTATTCATCGCTACAGCCATGTGTGTTACATTTGCAGTCCATAGGTGCCAGTCTCAGACAGCTCATCACTCTCTTTTATATCGCGTGTGTGCGGAATGAGCCACTTCTTGTCGTCCACACACCCGATGCGCGTTCCGCGAGAGATGTTTCATTTATTCACAAATTCTTTCTCGATAGGTAAATCTGATTATGACGGCTTCTATTGGATTGTCATATCAGCGCAACCATCCCCAGCAAAAGAAGAGCGAATAGCTGAAGACAACTTTTGTTTTAAAATAAAATAAAATAAATTGATTGTTATTTTGTAAAAATATAACACATATACGCCTGAGGGCTGAGGCCTGTGAGGCTGAGCGTGGCCTCAGGGCTCAGGGCTCAGGGCTCAGGCCCTTGACTCAAGATCGAAACTCGATATTTATTTATTTAAAATAATATGTAGTCGGGAAACAATATTTCTATGTAAATACCCCGGCATGTTCGGACGACATATCTTTTTATTATACTCAGAAGTCCGATATACGTCATGATACTGTGCTCAAAAAGGACACATCGCTGTCGTTTATCAGCCCAGGTCCCCAGGATATGAATCTTTCTCTCCTCATTTCTAAATGGCTCATATGTGAGATCACTGAGATCAATCTTTTTATATATTTTCTTTTGTTTGTTTTTTTTCTATTTAATTGTTTTTAAAGAAAGACAAAAAATAAAACACAATACAAAAGGCCCACCAGCCAGTGAAATTTTTTATAAAATAATAGATATTATATATTGTTTGAAAAAACAAAACAATACATCTGTACATATGTAAAAAAAAAAGATTTAAAAATTAATGGACTGAAGGAATAGGGATCTCTGACTCTCTGACTGATGACTCTCTGACGGATGACTCTCTCTCTCTCTCTCTCTCTCTCAGAGTGAGCGAGAGAGATCGAGAGATATGAAAGACCGGAAAAGGTCATGCTTATAACTTTCTTCTGATGCATACGAATATCTCGTGAAGAAAATGTGCGTCGAGCGCCACGAGTGGATCCCACTTTCGCATAGAGGTTGTCAGATTTAAATGTTATAGTTTTGAAAGCCGTATAACATTTGCGTCGGCGATGAATGTACACGACGTAGTTTCGCTCTGAACTATAGTCCGATAGTATGGATGTATATACCTCTGCCGCCAATTTGTACAACCGGAATAAGCAGCTAATCGCGTATAAAGGACACGTTCAAATGGGTTCTCACTCAACTAATGAATTTCATCATAATGTATTTTTACCTTCAACGCGATATTGACCAGTTCTGCTCAA